ATTGACCGTGACATTATAACGCCCACACGGCTGAATCGGCGAGCATGTTTGGTGTGACGGGGATTCGAACCCGCGATCCTCAGATTGCCGGGCCGAATTCTCATAGACAGAGTGTATTAGCCACGAACTGTTTCTTGCCTGATTGTTTCTTTTGAAAAATTATACTTTCGTTTTTTACAGAAATCAAGTAAAATAATGTTTAACCCTAGTAATAGATTTTGAACTACTTTTACAAAGGACAATTGCGCGAGTTTTACAAATTTCCTTCAAAAGGTAATTTTGTAGAAATTTGAATGGATATCAGTATTACAAAGATGTTCTCAGATCTTACGTTCGTCAAGTATTTCACCGGGAATCTGAATCTGAAATCTACACACGTAACTGAAAAAAGTGTAAGTTTTGTCAGTCATGTGCCCTAAAATTGTTTCTGTTATTCGCGTGTTTCTTATCTTCTTGATGAGGAAACACGTTTAGTTTACTTCCGGGTTTAAAGAACAGAGTAAATTACTAATTGTTTGTTGTGTGTTTTGGAAATAAAACATGATGAGGCGCTTTTAAGAAATAACCAACTTGTACAATCTCGACTTTGAGTTTCGAGGGGGAAAATGCTTTATTGTGCTGGTAAACGAGGGCGTGGAAAATAACACGAAACTTTAGCAACTTCACGGTCTGGGTATGATAGGCCACTAGCGTGGGCGTGTTACACAAAGAACGTATAAACAACGTTATATTAAGTTAGATGGATTCTTGTTTGACTACGTAACGTGTTTGGAAAACTAGCACAGGTGTTATAAGAGCTCAGAAATATTGACTTTTGACTTCGCGAACCCTAAACGCCCACCTATTGGAGAATTCCTTTAGTTTGTGGGAAGTGATGACGGCTATAAATAACAATCCTGCTAAATTACCAAGGTAGGAAGAAAATATATTATCTAAAATAACGAACCGATGTCATGTTCATGATAGCTTCATCTGTACGAAAATGTGGTTTATTAATTACAAAATAAAACGTCATAGATTTACTGAGAAGTGCAGCCTTTGAGACATAATAATAAAAGACAATAATTTGACAGTACTATGCTCAGAGATTCAAATAATAAGAAACTGCTTGACTGTAATGCCCATCAGAAACACAAAAGTCGGTAAAGACAAAAATAACCCACAAAACCACGGTTACTGGTAAATAAATACCCAGAAATTTTTCATTAACAATATATATAGAGATGAATCTGGGTATCTGACTCAAATAAAATTTTCGAAAAACACTGAAACCCAGCAGCTGTAAACATGAGACTTACTTAAGTTGTACAACAATGAATCCCATAATCTGATTGAAATAAAAAAAAATTATCTAGCAACACTGAAACCCAGCACCTAGTAAATATAAGATCTGTCTAACACGATATACAACAATGAATTCTAGTATCTGATTAAAATGTAAAACACTGAAACCCAGCAACTGTGAGAGATTAGAGATTTATCTAATAACTTATAATCAACACACACGGTCGTGTGTTTCGTGTGGCCAAAACAACCTGCAGGACACACTGTGTGTGTTATTAACAGTTTGTTTGTTTGTTTGTAGTTAAGCACAAAGCTACACAATGGACTATCTGTGCTCTGCCCAACACAGGTATCGAAACCCGGTTTCTAGCGTTGTAAGTCCGCAGACATACCGCTGTGCCACTGGGGGGCGTTATTAACAGGAGTGATAGTTTAGCAAATCTCAACTTTCTGTAGCACGGACTGTAGTAATCCAAACTGTCACATATTTCTGACGGATGTGCTCTACTGGACACTTACACAAATTTCAAGGCAATCCATTAATAAATACCTGAGATATAAAATCTCCAATTTTGATTGAATTTCTTCCTTCTTTTTTTTTTCTTCGCACCAAAAATACGGAAAATTTATTTGATGGAAAAGTACACTTAACTTTTATGGATTTTTTTTTCAAATTTCGTACGCTGATAGATCTGTATGATCTACAATTAGGTGTCATATTTTGTCTAAGTATAATCCACATGCGTAAAATTATTCAACAAAAAACGTTCAAATTTGACCCAAATTTTTGCGCACGCCTACACAAAAAAAAAAACACGTGAGTTATCGTGAGTAAAAGTGGACCGTTTATAGTTTTTTGTCATTTGGATTAAATACGGCTAACTTATAGCATCAAAACTTTAAAGTAAAAGGACGTGCAAGATACATAAGTATTGGTTAGGCCAAGCAAAATAGATTAGCAGTTTTAGCTAAGTTTTTAAAAGAATCATATGGATGGACGGTTATTATTCATCATTCATTGCCAACTTTTAACCCCAGATTTGCTAAATTTTATGAAATTCTCCTAATTAAAGAGCGTTTAGTGTCACGTGATATTACTTTAAGCAAATAGCGTAAATAATGATGTTCGATACGACTGCACCAAGTGTATGCGGGTGATGACAAGAAACTGTTAATCTAGTTTCCATGGCGTTACTATAAAGGAAATTATTAACACTGTTTTAAAGAGGAAAAATACCACCATATATTCTAAAGAATCTGGTTGTTTCTGTAAAATATAGGTCTATTCCAAATAATAGGGTTGCAATCCTTAAGTTAATGTTGGTTACTATCGAGTGTCATTTTCTTACTTGCTGTGGTTTTTGTTGTGTATTGACAAAACAAGTCATGATATCTAATCAAAAACACCTTAGGCGTGAAAAAGGTGCGGCCAAAAAAGGATTGAGCGTGCGACTTAAAGGAATGAAATCAAAATTTGCGGCCACATTCGTAACTACACTTTTAGCATTGTTAAAACGTTTACAGCAAATACCCCCCATCATGCCCTAAGTTTAATAAAACACGCGACCTGGCTAACTAATGAATGAATATTTGATGTAAAATTCTCAATAATGCTGTAAGTGTAGCTACCTGTTTGGCCGCCAATTTTGATTTCATTCCTTTAAGTTGCATGCTCTATCTTTTTTTGGCCGCACCTTTTTTTCACACCTAAGGTGTTTTTTATTAGATATGTATATATATATATATATATATATATACAACATTGACTCACACTGTCTGATTGGAATAAATAAATATCCAATAACAATGAATCTCAATGAAAAACAAGTACCTGGTATAGGTAAGATTTGTCTAGGTGGATCAGCGGTAAGTTTGCAGACTTACAATGCTAAAATCCGGGGTTTAATTCCCCGCAGTGGACACAGCAGATAGTCCAATGTGGCGCTAAACAAATAAAAAACACAAAAAGATTTATCTTAGAATATCTAAGTTCAATTTAGAGAGAAAAAATGTGAGAAGTGCAACATACAAATTGAGCAACTGGTAAATTATATTAAAACTCATAACAGTAAATCTTAATAATGAAGTGCTAGGTACAACACTGAAATTCAGTTCTTCATGGTGAACACTGAAAAATACAACACTTAAACTTTATACTTCATAGTGAACACTGAAAAATACAATACTGAAACTTAATAGTTCATGGTGAACACTCAAAATACAATGCTGAAACTTAGTACTTCATGGTGAACACTGAAAAATACAATACTGAAACTTAATAGTTCATGGTGAACACTCAAAATACAACACTTAAACTTTATACTTCATAGTGAACACTGAAAAATACAACACTGAAACTTAGTACTTCATGGTGAACACTGAAAAATACAATGCTGAAACTTAGTACTTCATGGTGAACACTGAAAAATACAATACTGAAACTTAATAGTTCATGGTGAACACTGAAAAATACAATACTGAAACTTAATATTTCATAGTGAACACTGAAAAATACAATGCTGAAACTTAGTACGTCATAGTGAACACTGAAAAATACTGAAACTTAGTACTTCATAGTGAACACTGAAAAATACAATACTGAAATTTAGTACTTTATAGTGAACACTGAAAAATACAATACTGAAACTTAGTACTTCATAGTGAACACTGAAAAATACAATACTGAAACTTAATACTTCATGAAGAGACTGAGAAATACAACATTAAAATTCAGTACTTCGTGAGAAAGACTGAAAATGACAATATTTAAAAGTACAAGTTAAACCTTAATAACCCATGAGAGTAACACTAAAACCCAATGTCTGGTGTGGGACACTGAGACGGATAACTCTAATTTCAAACCTTGTAAATACGATATGGTAGTACAGAGTACCTTCATTCTGACATATAACAGTTCTTACAAAACCTTTTCAAAAATCCTAGACATTTTAATGTACTATTATATCATTAACTAATTTAATTGATAACGACGAATAAATTATGGATATTTAAAGTTATAAATTTTTCTTAATTAAAGTAATAGTTAAGTACAACAATTATTAATATATCATTAATATTGAACATTTTTGTTTGTTAAATATCTGTCTTCATAGAAATCTGTCAACAACTGTAAGTTTGTTTGTTGTTGTTTTTTCAGTCAACTTAACCCTACTGATCGTAAACGAGGAAAACCACCACTTCCGGTATTGTCACTTCATATTATGGACATTCAAGGTCGTGAACGAAAGACCTTCTCTATAGGAGAATTACTTAAATTACAAGTGCGCATGTCTGATGACGGTAAGTTACTTTTTATAACTATCAAACTGGATTACTAAGTTACAAGTATGGAAAGCTGATTACAGTAAGCCACATTTCCACAGAACACTCACTAAGTTGCAAGTAAGGAAACTTGGTTACAGTAAACTACGTTTCATCACAGAACACTTACTAAGTTACAAGTATGGAAAGCTGATTACAGTAAGCCACATTTCTTCACAGAACACTCACTAAGTTGCAAGTAAGGAAACTTGGTTACAGTAAACTACGTTTCATCACAGAACACTTACTAAGTTACAAGTATGGAAAGCTGATTACAGTAAGACACATTTCACAGAACACTCACTAAGTTGAAAGTAAAGAAACTTGGTTACAGTAATCTACGTTTCATCACAGAACACTTACTAAGTTACAAGTATGGAAAGCTGATTACAGCAAGACACATTTCACAGAACACTCACTAAGTTGCAAGTAAGGAAATTTGGGTTTGAATCTTGCTCGATTTAAGTCTTTTCACGTCCTCAAAATAAATAACATAGCAAAGGCTTATAGTATTCAAAGAAGTTAAATTACGAGTGATTAATATAAAAATATTTTAAAGCTGGTTTTTCTAATATAAAATATATCTTAATTCTTTAATGCACATGCTTATTTATTTGTTTGTTGAGTTTTGGGCAGAGCTACTTGAGGACTATCTACGTCCATAATTTTGAAGTTATAGACTGGAGGGACGGCAGCTAGTCAATATTATCCTTAGGCTTTGTTTGTTTGTTTGAAGTCAAGCACAAAAACTACACAAAGGGCTATCTGTGCTCTGGTCACCGCGAGTATCGAAACCCTGTTTCTAGTGTTGTAAGTCCGCAGATAACGAATAGTAGGATTGGCAGAAACATTATATCGCCCCCACAGTTGAGAGGGGCAAGCATGTTCAGTAGCAGTATTCGAACACGCCACCCGCAAATAACGCGTCAAGATCCATAACGACCAGGTCATGCCAGGCTCACGTGTATAATAGGATGACTATTGTACTTCAAGTTATTAGAGTTTTTCAATAAAATATTTATATATTTATCCTTAGATGTTCCTTGAATCTATTTATAAAAACGAATCATTATTTAGATATTTTAATGCTTTAATCTGCTTTTTGTTCATTTATGTATATATGAATTTTTTAACAGACACGTACGGTATTTTCCTCCGAAATCTTATCGCAAAAGACCCAGCTGGAGCTAATAATTTAACACTGATTGACAATTCAGGGTAAGTAAGTCTTTTACTAAAGTCGTAATAACGTGAAATACAATGTCGAATCGAAAGAAGAAACCTGAGCACCTTCAGAAGATACAACCTACTTTCTTCAGAGTGGTCTAACTTTCGATTTATCGAGTTTCTTATTTTGGAAACCTGAGCACCTTCGGAAGATACAACCTACTTTCTTCAGAGTGGTCTAACGTTCGATTTATCGAGTTTCTTATTTTGTGCCTGATCTAATTTTGGTTCTTTGCGTTTTGTAGAATAGAAATATTGTTGCGCGTATCACAAAGGTACCCGGTGCATTTAGATATGCATGTGGTTTATTTTTAATATCATTGTGAACTTTTTCAGACAATACTTACATAGTATATTTCATTGTTTTCAAACAATTCCACTTTGTAAACAACTTTGAATAGGTATGTTGAAAAAAAAAGAGGATTTGTCGTATTTATCGTTAACAACATTTTCTTAATTATAAGAAGCCCGTCAGTAAAAATTGCTTATACACGAACTTCACATACACTTCTGGTATCACTAAAGAATTTCAGATCTTTCTTAGATAACGTAAGCCGCCACATAAAGAGCTATAAAATAAAATAAAAATTGTCATTGAATGGAAATTACAAATAATAACCTATGATTAGATATGTGTGTATATATACCCTGTAAATAACATCGTTTTGTATGTCACTGAGAATACACATCTACAATAAATTGTTTATCTTGTAGCTGGAAGTTGCCCTAACTCACTTGACTCTATATATATGTTTACTTTGCTACTATGTTGCCCTAACTCAAGTGTTACTACATTTACTTTGCTTGTATGTTGCCCTAACTCGAGTGCTTTTTTTATTTACTTCGTAGTTGAATGACTATGTGTTTGTCGCTGCATGTTGTTATAAATCTGTGTGTGTTTAGTTTAGTTTGCAGCTTGATTTGTTGTGCTATTTGCATCTTGGTGTTGCTATGTCTTGCGTGCATATGTTTGCCTTTATTAGTTGTGTTGCTGTATCTTGAGTTTTTGTATGTTTGTCTTTAGAAGCTATGTTGCTGTATCTTGAGTATCTGTATATTTGCCTTTTTAGCTGTGTTGCTGTATTTTGAGTGTTTGTATGGTTGCCTTCAGCAGCTTGTTTTTGTTGCTGTATCTTGGGTGTTTGTATGTTTGCCTTTAACAGCTGTATTGTTGTATATTGAGTGTTTGTATGGTTGCCTTCAGCAGCTTCTTTTTGTTGCTGTATCTTCAGTGTCTATATGTTCGCCTTTAGCAGATGTATTGCTGTAACTCGACTGTATGTATGTATACTTTACAGCTTGTTGTTCCTGTACTGATTGTATCTGTGTATTGAAATTACAATTAAATGTTGGTGTTACTGGAATGTATGCAGCCTATTACCAGTAAATAATGCAAAACCGTAGTTATATGAAAGTTACTACAGAATTACTATTGATATTTGATATATTATAACCACTAAACATTAATAATTATAACTTCTGCATCAAAACTTGAAGTCATTACCGATTCTAGGACGCTGTCATGCACAATGTTACCCATACGTTTGTTTTGAGAAACAGAATTTGCTCTACACTGATAACAAACATGAACATTATAAACCAAAATATTATAGCGTGATAATTAGATTGGAAGTTATATCACAACAGTTATGCTTAAACTATTTAGCGTTCCTTACAGTTTATATGGAGCGTCGGAAATGAAGTTAATATGTTTTGTTCTATTTCTTCTTCCCTGGGATCGTTTAATGTAGTTGCCCAGTAGAAATGAAGATGATGCGAGAGGTGCGGACTGTTGATGAAAAGAGTAAATTTTTGGAGAGCTATCTAGAAGCTTTCACTTTCATGGGAAGTAACATAATAGAACTGGAAGCAGACGTAGAAACATGTCTGGAACGTTGCAAACCGGTAGGTGGCACTAATTCCACCCATTATAATATATATATGATAGTTTTGCAAATGTAGTAACATTCTTTACATATTTTGTCCATTTGCTTTTCATGTTAATGATATTGCATTTACAGAGCATTCTGAAAATGTAATAAACTACAGAAGAAACCGCTGCATATCATGTATATATATATGTATATTACAAATAACACCATAGCAGTTTTGTGTTAATAACATTTGATTCAATACAAGTTCTTTGATGATTTTAAAAATAAGCAAACTGCGTGATAATTAGCAGGTGAAAACTTTGTATATTAATCTTTTTTAATTATTAGCAACGCGAAGAGCCAAAAACTGCTCGAGTGACGCTTTTCTCAGTATTTTAAATGCCATCAGAGACTTTATACTTATTACTAAATATTATAAAAAGTGGTAGATCAGGATACTAAGTCACTTTCTTCAACAACAACAATTAGTCTCTGGTCCGCACAAACTATGTTTCGTATCTTTTATTATCAATGTTTAAGAAACAGTATTTGTTACCATCCAAACTCGCCGGATAATAGTAACAGTACAGTTGTTCAATGGTACTTCGTTTCTCTAGTATGTATGAAGCAAAGATTGTATTAAAGGTAGGTACTGACTTAGAGATAGCTACTATTAAAGGTAGGTACCGACTTAGAGATAGCTACTAAAGGTAGGTACCGCCTTAGAGATAGCTACTATTAAAGGTAGGTACCGACTTAGAGATAGCTACTATTAAAACTATCTGTTTAATAGTATTAAAGGTAGGTATCGACTTAGAGATAGCTACTAAAGGTAGGTACCGACTTGGAGATAGCTACTATTAAAGGTAAGTACCGACTTAGAGATAGCTACTATTAAAGGTAGGTACCGACTTAGAGATAGCTACTAAAGGTAGGTACCGACTTAGAGATAGCTACTAAAGGTAGGTACCGCCTTAGAGGTAGCTACTATTAAAGGTAGGTACCGACTTAGAGATAGCTACTATTAAAGGTAGGTACCGACTTAGAGATAGCTACTAAAGGTAGGTACCGCCTTAGAGATAGCTACTATTAAAGGTAGGTACCGACTTAGAGATAGCTACTATTAAAGGTAGGTACCGACTTAGAGATAGATACTCGTCATTCTCCTTAATTGTTTGTTTGTTTTGAATTTCGCGCAAAGCTACACGAGGGCTATCTGCGCTAGCCGTCCCTAATTTAGCAGTGTAAGACTAGAGGGAAGGCAGCTAGTCAGCACCACCCACAGCCAACTCTTGAGCTACTCTTTTACCAACAAATAGTTGGATTGATCATCACATTATAACGCCCCCACGGCTGAAAGGGCGAGCATGTTTGGTGGGACAGGGATTCGAACCCGCGACCCTCAGATCGCGAGTCGAGCGCCCTAACCACCTGGCCATGCCGGGCCCATTCTCCTTAATCGTGATACGATACAAAGCCGAAATTTCCTATTTTAATGGTGAGAAAAAAATTACAACACCTTAACACTTTGAATGATGAAGAGTTTAGAATAATAAATTAACAGCGATGATGTTTCTTTTTTCATCGTGTACATATACAAGTACAAGTAGTTTTGTTGAAAGTGAAGAACAGATCAGACACCATACATTATATACTACACTTCACCACTACGAAAGGCTTAGTCTTTTCTGTGAAGTGCATGTAATTTAATGTCAAAAATCACGTGGTTTTCCGCGCACCTGTTAGGGAATGAAGTTTTTCCTTTACCACGACAAAGCCTCACTTGCATGACGCCCCCAGTGGCATAGCGGTATGTCTGCGGACTTACAACGCTAGAATCTGGGTTTCGATACCCGTGGTGGGCAGAGCACAGATAGCCCATTATGTAGCTTTGCGATTAATTACAAACGAACAAACACTTGCATGACACGGGTTTTGTTGCTCCGTATTTATTTACAGCTGTTCACATAGAAAGTGGTACCCACAACCCTCTTCAAGAATAGTAAAATTGAGGGTAGGTTTCCTTGAAAGAATTGATAATAAACCGTGCTTCTCCTTTCTTCGATCTTGTAGCACGAAAATAGTTAATTTTAAAGAGGGTCAAAGATAAACCCAATTACAAGTTTAGATATTCTGCCAATATTCGTGTTTTATACTACTACTGCGCAAAGAGAGAGAGAGAGACAGAGAAATGGGCATAAGGATCTACACTAGTATGTTTACAACCCTAGAGTTTAAACCGTTCATTAATAACTTTTAATGTTAATCAGTTAGATAACGTTGATATCATACAGTTTTCCGATTCTTTACTCACTTATGACCCAACAGGTTCTTTGCTAATCCCAACAAGACGTGGTGAGTAGTTTAATATTATTCCGATAGATGGCACTGGGATCGAAAATTATTATAATTATTTTCTTACTTTAATCCATCAGGTTCTTTGTCAGATCCCAACAGGACGCAGCGAAGACGATATGGAAACTGTCTATTCTTACGGCCGAAGGAAAAGAAGAGAACTCGATGAGAATACTTATGGAGACGTTCTATCTATAGTACGTCTTTCGAAAAGTGTCGGTATTCGAGCCCCTGAGTTTGGTGTTAGAGATCCCTCCACAAAAAATGTTAAATATGCAAGACCTATCACAGCGCCACCCCTTACAGGTGAGTTGAATGTAACATCATTCGGTTGATTGATGTATTGTGATTTAAAGATGTGAAACAAAACATTTGGATCAGGTACTATGTTCAAACAATTTATCAAAACGTAAAAACCATGCTTGAAGTGAAAAACCTCAAACTGGTTTCTTAAAGTTAAATTATGGTCTGTATGTTGTTGTTTTTTTAAATCATATCCATTGAAATCTGAAAATATCATTGATAAGTTCAGGTTCATTTGTTTTAGGTCTCTAGAACTATAATTGAAAAGCCATTGTTAACAAAGAACAGTATTAAGGCTGGGGTTGAGTTTTTAGGTCTTACAGAATATTATTAATTTCATGATTAAGTTTGCATGAGTTAAAAAAAATAGGATATTAATAAGCTCAAGCTGTCTTTTTTGCTATTGTTGTTTGTTTGAAGTTAAGTACAAAGCTACTCAATGGGCTATCTTTGTGTTTTTTGTCAAGAAAGATCGTGTATAAAAGCATATTAACTGCTTTTGTATCATAAATTGAGAGCTAAATCTTTTTCTTTTTTTTAAGTTACAAACATCTCATGGTAGTTTGCCAACTTAAAATACAAAATCGATATTTTGACATTTAACTCCCAGTGTCAGAAAGTTGCAGTTAATTATGAGCAGCGTTTAATTTATGCAGAATAACGAAATTACTGGATCTCCGTTATTGATGGTGGCGGAGGCTTATTGGAAGGTAACAATTTAAACTTTATTGAAGCTATATTTAAAATGGGGTTGTAATGTAGTTGACTACATTAAATATGAAATCGCAATGCAACCAAGGCAGTCTTGAAATTGATTTTGGTGTTTCCGCCTTTAGATTAAAAAACAAACAAATAATATTAATCCGACCAGATTTTAGATTCGGCAAAAATTAACCACCGCCTAAGTTTAATAAAAAGTTCATTTAATGACGAACCTTCAAAGTTATTTTAATAAAAAAGGAAACTTGGTGTATTTCAAATTTTGTGATTTGTCATAAATTAGCTTGAGTTATTTAAGATTTTATAGGTGTTATTATTATTATCATTATTTTATGAATACAAACAGCTTTCATTAATCTTTTTTTTCCTGCAGCCTCAAACGAGTTTGATTTGAAGCAGCCGACAGATGGCGACGTGTTTTGTTTCGATCCTATGTTAGCAGCCGTGTTGGGAGTTTTTATTCTCGTTCTCGAAATAAGTGGAATTACAGCATGCATTGTTACTTCCTTACAAAAAAACCGATGTAGAAAAGAACAAGATAGTTATTACTCGGTATATTCCGACGGTAAAACAGAAAGTTCTGGATTAACAACATTATTTTAAGAACTCATTTGTATCTTTACTGTCATAATTTTAATCAATTATTTATTCGCGGTGTGTGTCAGACTTCATGTGTGTAACTAAGTGACCTGGGTATTCCTTATAATTATTCAATAGCACAGTCAGAATTTATATAATATGCATTTTTTTGTGTTTTTTATAGTTATCTTTTCTAAGCGGGAATATTTCGTATCTTTAAGAACCAATCAATTGACAATGCTCACGAACTCTTGCTTAAGATACTTAGTGAACATAACCAACAACTATGAAATGGGAGACAATTGTGAATTTTTTTAAGTGTTTGGTTGAAAAAACGAACAGCTATGGAAATGTTGAACATTGGTGGACTTACATGTTTAATGAACGTAATTAAACGTTATGGAAGTGAAGACAAGAGGAACTTACTCAGTGGACATAACCAACGACTATGGAAATGAGGGGGACGACGACGTGGACTTTGATTTTAGTGGACCAGGGGTTTTCTTTCCATAAGTCTTCCTCTCCGACAGAGTTTTTAAGGATTGTATTCTTAAATTATAGCTTGTGTTTACATATTGCGCTTTCAGCACTCAAATGCAACGCGCTACATCAGTAACCAAATAAAATCCCCATCCCCCAGAAAACAAAAATTGAAGTAATTTATGGACATAATTAAAAGTTATGAAAATGGGAGACAAGGGCGTACACGACCAATGTGGAACAAGGGAAGACTTAAATGCTTAGTTGATATAACTAACAGGTATGTAAATAGAGGACAAACTACTGGTCATGTATATGGGGAACAGCTATGAAAATGGGAAGTTAGGGTGCTTATATATGTTTAGTAGTCATATCGAGACACAATTATTATAATATATTTTAGTTTACAACTTATGCAACAAGCTATATGTTGAAATGGCTTGGTTAAAGTACCTCTCCGTTGTACGGTGTCTCTGTCATTGATATCAATAATCGTCTTTAATACGGACGTTTCGGAATTTCCCTAAATTTCATCATAAGTGATAATGTCTCAAAAAAGATAGTTCATAATATTTGATCTACAAACAACAACATTAGCATTGAGCGAGTTTTAGTATTCAATCTAAAGTTTAGAAAGAACAGATCCAAATGGTAACAATATAATGGAATGTACGATAAAACGTGCAGCATACACATGTTTACTAAATAACATTGTTAGGAAAAACTATTGTAGAGAAAGGCTTAAATATAAGTATAAACTATGCATCTTTAAAATAATGTTACGTCTCTGGTCGTTTGTTAATTTCCCGTATAATTTCTTTCCGAAGAACTTAAGCGATACAAATCCTTTCTTAAATAAAACTAGTTTATTCTTTCTCAATACAACTTTGCAATACACTTAATTTCCACAATCGCTTTAACTTAAACACACGCTAGAATTCACAACGATTCAGGTATTTTACTTACGGCTTGACTAGATTATCTGTCTCTATATCTCTCTGTCTGCAATTATATCCTCGCCGTCACTTTATTTGCTGGCTTATATACTATAAAAGCGTACATCTCGTCTCTTCGTGAATCTTCTAGATACTCATCACGTGTTACTAGCGTCACGTGACTTCCGCTGTCGTAACAATAATCTTAATTGTTCATGAAGTACTGTATAAAAATGGCTTAGATATCTTAATTATTCATGAAGTACTGTATAAAAATGTTTCTCTGTAAAAAATTGCTTGAACACTTATTACTGAGGATTTGGCATTATGATAAATGACTAGGAAATTCTGGTGCTCTGTTTACTACTTTTCAGAAATATTACTATAAAAGGTTGAAATGTTAAAACTCGAATCGTTATCCACATGAAATTATTTTATAACTAGATTGTCCAAACATGTTCAAACGGCTTTCTATAGTCACCTCATTTGCACACCTACTTTTTCTATACAGCAGTGACCTCGCTGGGCGAAATTTCAATCATTTTGTTTCTGTTGTCCTCAAACTGGTGTCAATTATTGAAATTTTCTGTATAGTTCAATGAAATAGTATTTGAAAATTAACTCTGATACTGACTTTTGGTCATTGGTTTTGCCAATCCTCCTTTACCTTATTTTGTGTTTGACAGACAATTGCTATAAAGGGAGTTTCATCTTAAGTATAGAGCTCTATAAGAAATGAATCAATGATTCTAAAGACGAAATGAAAAAACAGCACTTTTTTGCACAGATTATAGTTAAAGAAAATGATCTCTTTGTGAAAGCAAACTTACACAATAATCTCAGGGAATATGTAATGAATTAATAATTATTTGTGAAATCATTCTAATAGTGGTTTGCCAGACTAAGTTTTGAAATAGTTAAATATATGAACATATAATTTTTCTTTTACTTTTACATAGCCATCGAGATAACTAAAATGTATTCATTTCTCGTCTTCGCACTTTCAACGTTCTTCTAGATATTAAATTTCAAATTTTCTCTTCAAATTCTTATACTTCTTCTAGATGTTTGGTGTTCGCCTCCTCTTCAAATTTCTTACACTTATTCTAAGGGTTAATGTCCAATGCTTGTCTAAAAACCTTTTACAACTTTTATAGATGTTAAGTTTTAGTTCTTATTTAAAAATCTCTTACAATTACTTGATACTAGCAGAGACCCGCAAACCATTTTCGGCCAAATTAGTGTTACGTCTCTGGTCGTTTGTTAATTTACCATAAAAATTCCTTCCGAAAAACTTCAGCGATACAAATCCTTTCTTAAGTAAAAGTAGTTTATTCTTTCTCAATACAACTTTGCAATACACTTAATTTCCACAATCAATTTAACTTAAACACACGCTATAATTCATAAAGAACGATTCACGCACTTACTTACTATCGTGCTTGACTCAATTGTCCGTCTCTGTCTGTCTGCAGTTCTATCTCGATTCATTGTCTGGTGCACTTATATACAAGAATATCGCACAGCTAGCAAACACTCGAGCATTCACGAACCTTCGAGAATATCATGACGTGTCTGTCTTCTTCAGATATGTATTATGTTCCACCATCAATAAAACGTTTCCTTATGCTTGTATATCGTTGTTTGCCTACCTATTGTTAACAGACACCTATATTAAACAACAGATAATGTCTACAACTATACTAAGTGGTGGATTGAATAAATGGCCGGAGTTTTTTCAATATATCTAAAGTTTATTTGAATGTAATCCCTATTTCTGAAACATATTATCCGAAAAGAAAGAAAACTTAGTAGAAAAATATGATATTTATATAAAAGATAAAGATTTAAGTAAACATACTTCAGGCTTCATTACGCTCATTACGGATAATATTAAATGCAATATTGTTACTCTATCAACTCGCATACTAATAAAACAATAGCCTGTGACATTTACGTAACTAACATAAATAAGATTAGTATAGCTAATATTTCTTAAAAGTATCACCTGACTGCCAAATGTTTGAAGATTTAATTAATTATAAACTTCTGCATGCAAAGAGTGCAGTTGGCAAAGAGGATTTCAATAGAGTTAAGAAAGGAAACAGGGCTAAAAGCTTGGAATATAATGCATTTAGGGGCAAGAATGGGCTTGGGTTTAGGTTAAGTAACCGGTTCCAAGCACTTGCTAGTGATGAGGGGGAGCAGGAAGAAACACAGATGGGATCACAAGGGATGATAGTGTAATAGATAGGGAAGTTATAGTTGTAGGTGACTCTTTAGTTAAGCATGTAGATAGAGCAGTATGTGGAGTAAATAGGAGCAAAATAATACGCTTATGTTATCTAGGAGCAGGGGTACAGGATATAATTGATAAAACCAGAGAGATAGTTAAGGGTGCTAGTAGCAATGTAGTTTTCGTGTTATATGTTAGGGCTACTGATGTAAGGAAAGATGGATCTGAGAAACTTATTGATGAGTACAAAACATTGATAAGGGCATTTAAGGAAAGGATCATAGCTAGATTTTGTCAGGAATATTGCCAAGAATAAATTGTGGGGATGAGATACTAAATAGGTCACTAGGATTGAATGCCAGGCTTAGATCAATATGTAGGAATGAGCAAATAGGCTGGTAGGATTTGTGGGATAGTTT